CACTGCCACGTCACCATTGTGACTCTAAGGTTATGGTCAAATCCATTTTGCAGTGCAGTTATAAATTGCAATTTTCTTTTGCCTGAGGTTAGTGTAAATAAGTTCTCATGCCTCAGTAGATCACGGTAAGGTGATTCATAACTGCACTGCGAACTGGGAGGGACTGCAGCGTTAGATGAACAATGAAATCGTGATATAGATATAGTAGGAACCTCTACAGGAGCTAATGATTGCATTGCAGCCACAATCCATGTCACTTTAGATAACTGGCATCTGAAACTATCGAACTTTTTGTTTTTTTTTATCAATGTTACAAAGAATTCCATTATAGGAAACTAGATATTTACTCGAAGTGAATATAAATTATAGAATATTACATAAATTGTCTGCTCTTTTACATTGATGAGAAAAATCCTCATAATACAAGTTTAATAGATACGGAAATAATACGAAATACAGACAAAAAAATCTATTGTACCATTATTACGACTGTTTCCAAATCTAGTCAGTTTCGTAAATGTTTACAAAATTAAAACCGAATAGCACCAACTTCATCATTTAAGGATAAAATACAATAGGGAAGCAGGTTTAGAAAAGTGGAAAAAGAGATCGATTCCTGCTTAATTTCTGCTGACGCTTGATTTGGTTAGAACCTAATCTACCGTATGACACCTTCATGCCCTTGTCCGTTGGAATTCTTGCTTAATATATTAAACACGCAGCTTTAGGTAGTATGCCATCCATTGGTGATTTTGGGATTTTAATCCTACGTCTTTAGTATATCTTCTTTCCATCTGTAATAATCTTGCTATTATTGTTTGGATTGCCCAAACTCAAGTTTATTTTATTTTAATCTTAACGCTATTGTATGTATTTATCACCATTGTTTTGTTTTGTATTTTGCTGATACTGTTATAATCATTATTTTTCGTTAGAAGTCTGAGAACAATTTTCCAAAACATCTGTAGTTAGAAAATCGTCACCTATCCTTCCTGATAAACTTCATTCAAAGTTTGTAGAGTCAACCAATCACTCATTCTCAGCTTTATGAATTTCACTTATAATGATTTTCTCCATATTCTTATCCAATGATAGAAATAGAACAGAAATATTGAACGTAATATAGAATTAGATTTTGTTCATTCAGTGTTAGACAAAAGAATTTGTTTTTGACTGAATTTGGATAATGAGTTCGATAGAATCAGGAAGAGACTGTTAAAAACTAAGGAAGTTTCATGAAAACTGATTATTCTTAAATCGACTTCGCATTTTGGGGAACCGCCTTCTAGTCCTTTTTTTGTGATGAAAGAAGCTTGAAAACTTGGATCAACGAAGACAACTAATTTTATACTTTCCGTTTTCGAATACATTTAATGGGTTGCGTTTTGTAGCTTCCCGTTTGGTGGAAACTAGAGAGACTTTTTTTACTTTGAAATTTTGAATGTTTTGTTTATTTTCTTCTATGTAAAGGAAGCTATAATGTGTTTTATTGGAAATATGCAATATACATGTCGAGTTGTACTTGTGTTATTTCTAAAAGTTCTTAAATTGAAATTACCAGTGTCACTCATATGTCAAAACTCCAAATCTTGAGTGAAGTCTCATTCCTTAAATTTTTCAATGAAATAAGTACGAAGGCTGGCCGGTGTTAATTGAACTAAAATTAGAATTAAAACTAGAACTAATAGTAGAAATTTTCAGGTTTTGCCGTGCGTCCTTTAAGAAACAGTTTGACGTTTCTGAAGAAGGTTGCAACATGGCATCTGAAATGTCAAACTTTTTCTTAAAAGACACACGGCAAAACCCGAAAGTTTCTAGTGTTTGTTAAATTAATTGTCGATGTTGTTGATTTATAAGTTTTGCAATATTAACTCCTTTCTGGAAGTGTTACGCAATCTCGTCCATCTAATCATTATGACTAGTTGTTGTTTTTATGTCGATGGTAGAAAGGTCTTTTTTTTTTCTTTTTGTTATTCATTTGCATATCTCATATTGTCTACATTTATGAATACAAAAGATGCATTAAATCTTATGTTCATGTAAGTTTCAAAAACTGTTTCAAAGAACTTCAAAATTGCTAGCCAAGTCAGTATCGATTGACATCAAAAATTTATAAAATCACAGCTTAGTTGTTCATTTAAATTTCATTACTTAAAAATAATTTTTTGAATAACTTTTTTCTAAATGTTTGTAATTCACGGATATGAGTATAAATACGGTGATTATTTATATTTCTAATAACAACTCGATTGCAATTGATTATATGTTCCATTACGATTAATTAACATACCGTATTTACTTTCTAGATTTCGCGGTTTTCAATCTGATAATATCTAAAAACATGTTTAACCCATATTACTGCGTATAAACAGATAAAAAATAAAGTAAAACCGTACGTGCTTGTACCTTAATTTAACTGCAGTACATGCATTACACTTTGTTCATGAGGCAAGCTCAGAGTTTACTTAGTGGAATTGCTTTAAATTTCAAATTTAATCATGGCAAAGTGTGCAGTAGTACTAGATTTTCGCATCAGCGGTAAGTAGGTTAACTTTGCACTATCGTTTTATTAAAGAATTCATTCCTGAAATACTAGCGGAGCGCCTATATAGCGTACATTTATGAAACATAAAGTTTGCACTTAACGTACCGCACGTTGGCGTGCTGTGAAATATTTTATTTCAGGTGTATATCAGGAGAGAGGAAAAACCGGGAAAAGCCTTTTGGCTCGGATTGGAAGCATCATTTTTAGATTAGACCGCCAACTACGCTTTGATTATACACCCGCCTTCATCTATGCTAAAACATTTTCCTTGTATATAGTGATTGGTCAACGCCAGATTTGTTTTAAGATACCTTACAAAGAAGTGCGTTCGGCGAAATTTATTGACTGCATGGGCGGACAGTATATTTACATAATATCGGAATGAATGCAAAGAAACGCCTTTGTGAGTGTCTGTGCCATTCGTCATACCTGCTACAGATAAATTTCTTGATACAGTGAACGAATGATGTATTAGAGTGCCCACTCGTATAAAGACTCGTGAAGCTCAGTTTGAACCGTGTTAAAATAATTAATACAAATTGGATGCGTACCATAATTTACAATTTTACTCATTTAAATTTGATGAGAAAATATTTTAACAGGATTCATATTAAATTATTACAATCATTTTATGGGAAGACAATATAAATAACTAAATATCAATAAGACAATTTCACGTAAATTAAATTCCGTTCTAAAACTAATTACACCTTATAGGAAAGTATCTTATTCTGTAGCAATTACGTTATTTGTAACACTATATCAGACAATTTGACATTGTGTTAGCAGGTATATTTACGCCGCTGGTAAACTTAACGCGAAAGCTAGTTCAAACATGACTGTATGGTAACAGTGTCGAGGTGCCATTGTGCCCGAGAAATCTGTCCCACGGCAATCATTCCTGCTGTTGAAACTTGTATGATTTACAGGCGGCGATGCCTCCTCTTCACTATTCCAGGCCTGGAAGCGCTACGGAGACAAGTTATACGGCCCGATTATGTTGCACAGAAGGTCCAAAGCTAAATATCCCCTTTGTGACGAAGCTCACTGTAATTCGGACGAGCGTTACTAATTTTACTCCGGTGTGATGTTCAAAGAGATTATTTCGACTGATTTTAATGTCTCTCACAGTGTATATCTTATACGACTAGCATTCGTTGCATTAGTCTCGTTTGTGGATCAAGTTGAAAATGTTTCACTGTGTACAGGTTTCTAAAGTATTTTAATTTACTTTAATCTTTTACAAAATCATCATCCTGTTTTCTTGTTTCTAACGTCAAACTGTAAACTCGATTTAAACTAAAATTAATATGTGTCAGCTGGCGTCGTCATTTTGACATGCTCATCCCTGTTTCTCGCATGGCTTTATTGATAAAGGCAGGGTAAGCTCCTTTGGCGATGATCGACAGGACCAAGCGTGTTCCATTTACGGAAGGGTGTCACTTCATCGTTAGAGGGGTTGTTGTTTAGAAAGGCAAACTGTTTATTTTAAATTGCCGTTTAAGCTGGCACGTGGGGAATTAAATGATAATAGTGTTTAGGGTAGAAAAATTCGTACGCGCAGTTGTCTCCATTCTTTACTTACCTCAACGTCCCTACTAAGTTATCCCTAAGTAGTTCTTATAAGATGTCGTCGTCCCCTTTAAATGGAATAAGGACATGTCGTCGAAAATAGAATTAAATCGGGGACCGTTAAAATTACTCGCATTGTTAATTTTAAGGGTAAACCTAGTTTGCGTAACTGCTGAACTCTTAGCCTTCGTAATGTTTACTTTGGAAGTTGCAAATTAGTTGGCATTAAAGCAGTAAAGTAACGTAATGGTTGGGGGAAGTTGGCATGAGATAGAGTTCGTGAAACTAGATGTTTTTACATTAAAAGTTACAATTTATTCCACGGATTAAACAATACCCTAATCTACATTTCAATATTTACTCAAACAATCTGTTAGAAAATCAACAAGGTAGCTATTTGTTTTCTGTAAAACTCTTAACAATCCTCGCTTTCCTCGGTCTCATGTGGGTTTCGAGTGATACAAATAATCAAGGCGTATACATTTACGTCAAGTTATTCGACGTGTCCCTGTTTTAAAGAGACCAATATCGTTGGGCCGTTCAATTCTTAATCAAAGGCAGTTTGCGGTGGGTGTAAATTGCCCCGACCCTTTTCCAATTGGTTGGGACTACGTCCCATATGCAGATTGTTGTTATCTTGAATTCTCTTGTTATAGATATACGAAGTACTTTACGACATTGGTACAATCTGAATGGTGAATTGATAAAATTCGTTTTGGATACCGCTACATGTTTGTATCTCGCTTTCTCTGCATTGTATAACGTTAATATTGTGAAAGATTTACATGTACCTAATAAAATAAGATACTTTGATTAAAATTTTAAAAATATTTTATATTTTCAATTATAATCGAATAAAAAAACTAATACTTGTAAGCTTGTATTCGATTTAACATCTTACACATGAGCATTGTTACAAAGTGTGGAACATAATTCCATATTCATCTCTAATGTTATCTGCTTTAAAAACATATATTTTCTTTGTAAAAAGCATTATCACCCAACTCAACCAATCTATGAATGTAATCTGTCAATCTATAAAAAGTAAGATTTTATTGATCAACGTCGAAGCATACAGAGTGCTTTGTTGTGGCTACTTTACTTCTAATTTTCATCAAATTAAGATTTATTAACAACTTTATTTATATTGACTCAGCTGAATATCCAGTCTTATATTCTTCATACATCTCGAAGAATCGCCTTAATGCTCTCGAATCTTGAATGCGGGTAAGAACGACTCTATTAAGAATATTTCACCCCTCTACGTTACGATAGAGGATAGATCTGGGAATCAGACAGGATGGTTAGGTTCACTGAGTTCCTTTCTTTTCAATCTAATCTTGGAAAAAATAATAGAAGAGGTTAAACATCTAGACGAATACAAAATATACTTACAGCAGTGAACGACGATGATCTCTAAAGGTTCCTCCATAAATTTTGCGAAACATAAAAAAAATATAATATGAGGGTTTCCTCACACAAATCCAAAACTTCAGTGTCGTCTTCGATGATGCAAGCGGGAGATGGAAGGCAATGTCATAGAACAGGTGATGACCAGCAATTATCTGGGAGATGAAACTTCAAGCGATCGCAACTTGCAGAAGAAGGTGCAAAACCACCGACAGCAGGAACATTACCGAAGAGAACTAAGAAAAAGAAGATGTAGGTTTGTTATGAGGAGTTTTATAAACGTGCACGAAGCGCATCTTACAGCTGGTTATAACCGCTGAACTAGAATACTGAAAGAACTTAATCACAAATCTATATTTGTTATAAATAGCAAAAAATATTAATTTATTATGATATATCTAGACCATCTTACCAAATTTGTAATTCTACATCTTCTTTATATCAAACGGATTGAAGAAATAACTTATCAAGTACTTCAGGTATTCACTCTATTTGAAGCATGTTACATTCTGATAATGGGAGAGAATTTGTAAATTTTGTTATAGTAGAACTTTGTTCGATATGTAGTGATATCAAAATTGTCCATGACAAACCTTGGCATATCCAGTCAAATCATGATTACAATTTAGATGAAAACTTACATTTGCAGCAAGAGTTCCTGAGATTTATTTCATCAATGAAACACAGAGCTTGCCATGAAGACATCATACGACACAGTATTTGAATGTCCAATGAAATTGTGCTAGTTCTAAACTACTCTCAAGAATTTGGAATTTGACGAAAATCTGAAGCGTCAGAAAATAACATCTTCAGTTCACAGTGTTAATATTGTTAATAACCGACAACGTTGGATATTCCATACATTCTTAACTTTATCCAGAACAGTTAACTTCTACGTTTTCTTACGCCCGCCTTCGAAGAAAACCGTCTTGAATTATTTCAGCATCTCCATCTGTTACTACATGCCAATAGATAATAACGTTTTTTAAAGGCGAAAATGGTGTTGCAGATTGCGAATCTAATGCTGGAATGTGTAAGGATGGTATTAGCTTATTCACCAGTACACAAATTAGATATCATAGACAAAAATCAGGTCGAGTACAGTTTTAATACAACAGCAGCACAACTTACGCAGTTGTTTACTAGAAATTATTTTACTATAAGTGAAGAGAAATGTGTCACATTAGGAGATGTACCGTCAAAGAAGTTAGATTTCCAGCTGTGAGACGCTGGGCATCCGATAGACTTTGGAATTCGAAATGACACGACTTGGCTTGTACTATAATAAGTGATAATTAAATTTTAAACTTGTTATTTATATATTTAATCGTGTCTTATTGATTTTGCAAGAGTTTATTTATTACTTATATTATTTTAAACATTTACCTTGTTTAGGTTTTTGACACAAACATTGCTGCCAAATTTGATTTTTAAAGTTTCAAGTTAAATGGTCTAGTGACTTAAATAAACTTTATTAACATAAGTTCAATAATTAACTTTTCTAGGAGTACAATTTATGGTAGAATTAAACAAATACAAGTATCGTCTACTAGCTAAGATATGTTTGTATTTTTCTCGTAACTCCATCAACGTACCAGAAAACTGGACTTCTACCAACACAGAATGGGATATCCTAGAATTTGTCAATTTCAAATGATAAAAAAACACTACTCTATAAAATTTCGGTAACAACAGTAAATAGAATGAGAAGCTTACAACAATTTTATTGAAGATTGGATCTCCCCTTAAGGGGATTCTCTACGGTCCTCGAAGTTACTCAGGAGAGTCGCCGTGTGAGGGGAGGAAGCTCGAGGGACGGGCCATGCACGGTCATGTGACCATGATGACGCGAGAAATAGGCGGGTGCAACGAAATAGAAATAAATATCGAAAACTCATTTTTAAGTGTTTTTAAGCGTCTCATCTCTGAACCGAGGCGCCGCGCGCCGCCGACTGTTTTTTATAACACAAATTTTATTACATAAACAGAAATCTAAATTAAATAAATTTTTTTAATAAAAATCGTATGAAGGGAAATTTCTTCTTATTTGGGTCTGATTGGATTCCGTATTGGTAAGCTTCGGCTACGTCTCGGATCTATGATTTCTGGCAACAGACAATTGTTATAAAAAAATGCCAATTTTTCTATCATTTTGGTGCAAAATGTTTCATCGCGGTGTATTTCTATGATTTCAACATCTTTTTCCGTATAGATAACAAAATAAGAAAAATGTGTGTCTGTTACGTGCATCTGACCTTGTATTTGGTAATAATACGGGTGATTTTCTTTTAAATAAATTTTGTTGTCTTTGATGTAAGCAAACGTAATTTTTTTTTGTGTAATAGCTTCCCTAGGTGTTAAGTTTCTTGCAACAAATGGACATTTGATTTCAATCATGGAATTGTCTTCCGTCCTTCCATCTGGACTTGCAGCCAAAAATGGATGACATTTATCCACGAATAACCCACAGCTCTTTACTTTTATATTGAGTTTCCTTTCAACGGTTTCAATAGCCAACTCTTCATGGGTTATTCCATAAGTTGTGGCGGCGTTACCTTTAAAAGTACTATACAGAAGCATTTTTACAGTTTCTTCACAAGATGTTGAAGATCTTAAACGACATATCTTTCCAAAATTGGACGCCGTTAAACGTATTTTCCGATGATGAAACCAAAGAGGATTTTGGCGTTGCCCTAAAGTCTCCTTTTCTATCTCTAAAATTGTTGCTGTATCTACTACTAATTCTTGTAAAAATTTATCTTTTTTCTTGTTGTAATCAACATCGCATAAATCATCATTTCCTTTAGAGGCTTCAGGTCCGTAATTATTATCTTCTACATATAAAATATTAGTTTTAGTACGCTTCTTACGTTGCCGTCTTTTATATCTCAACGCAGCTTTCTTAGTAATATATAAATTCGTATAAGTCCCTGTTTTGAATTTGTGAAGTAACTTTATATATTTATGTTTTGCGGCAAATGATAAAGCTGCAGCTTCACAACGTATTGTGTATCCACCTCTGTTACTATAATTTATACGTTTGCCTCCAACAAATTTAGCTACAACGGAATTATATGATTCAACAATATTTGTATCCACGTACATCAACAAACTTGAAACATTTTGTGCTGTACGAGTTAAAGCCTCTTGAATATCTGTCCAGAGACCGCATATTTTCATTTCTTCGACAAGTGGGTTGGTAAGATAAGGTTTCTGGCAGAAATAACCCAAACTTTGACATTGTCGATGTTCATTGAAAATATGTGATGGTGCATTTTCTATATCCTTAGACAAACTTATAATTTGTTCAGCTTCACTGCGACCTTCATTTTTTCTATGCTGAATGGCTTTAGTCACACTTATGCGGATTCTCGGAATGTATTTCAATAATTCCTCACGAAGAAAGAGCGGAACTTTTGTTCCGGTAGAACTTTTATATTTCCTTGTGAGGTCCTTTAATTTTCCACACATATTTCGCAAAATGTGGTTTTTGCATTCAATTTTTTTAATTAATGTTTTGTGACCATATGGTTGTAGGTCTTGTAGTTTTCGATATAAACTACTATCGCCATCAGCTATAAGAATAGTATATTTTAGCTTATGCATTTCAATACTTCTACGAAACCCTTCGAGAACGATATCGGATTCCATAGCGGTACTGCTTTTGTTAAAATTTTTATAACATTTATGAGCTGGTATATTTTCTCCCTTTTTTAAATATATTTCACAATATGAGCAGTATTTATTGCGAATTCCTACGAATAATGGTTTTTTTGTTACTGCTCCTATAATACAGGCAACCCCCGATTGCGCGTTATAGTTGGTTTTATAGGACCGTTTGCACCAAGCTCCATCAGCTATAACGGCTATGGTCGGTATACCGTCCGAATCGATGTTACCTAAAACCGATAAATTTATAAAAACTAATTGTTCATAAGAAATATAAAGTTTTGTAAACTGTCATTTCCCGTTTTAGAAGTTAAGGAATATCTGATGTTGTGTGTCTATGTCAATTGCTAATATGTGTACCAAAATTTCAATGTAACGCCAATTAAATCATGGCACCCTTGAGGTTTTTCAATTGAACATATAATCGATTTTCAACGTGCTTAACTTACCAGCTTGTGCAGCTAAGGTATGTTCATCACGGCCTGCCGCTTGTATAGTTTCCAATAAGTTATTATGAACATTATCGCCAAAAGAATTAAAATGGTCATAAAATGTATGGATTGACATAGGAGGAATATTCATATGTGCCAGTATTTCATCAAGTTGTGAGAAACCGCAACCAACAGAGGCAATCCCGGTAACTGCCGCCGCATTTGTGTCCAAAATGTCATTGTTATTGTCCAAAGAAATTTCGATGTTTTTGTTACACATTACACATTTAAACACTAAAACACTACGTAAACCTACACGTTTCTCTTGTATAAAATCACAATTTTGCCATCCACAACTAAATGGGGTATGAACCGATTCCATTATAATTTGTTGAAATAATGAACCGATTTCAACAATTCTGCGTCCAGTCAACAAGGGTGTCAAACTTTTAGTGGACACTGTATCCTCAACATTGTTGTCATTATCAGTATTGATATCTCTTGTGTTGGATTCTAAATTAGCCATCACAGTGTCTGGCGAAGTAGACGTATGCGGTGAAACAGTCTCAGGACTCTCTTTATTTTTTTGCTGTATTAATCTGCCAAAATATAATTACTGTAGCAATATCGATATTTAATAACCAAATACGAAATATGTAAACTACAGAGTGTCTCACGAAAATCGAAAATAGGATTTTATAGCGAAACTACAGCAGCAATGGATTCGCTGTTTGACATATCGATGGGCAAAATATGTTAATGTTTTAAGCGGGTTATTACGTCTCCATCATTTTACGTTACACCAGAACTGGCTACTAATTCACTATTTTAATGGAAAATCTAAAATTTTATTTCGCAGTTGGGTGCATTATTTAATTATGAATCACTTTCATACGATAAATTTGTATCGTTTAAGAATTTTATTTTAAATTGTCTTTCAAAAATATTTTTATTTTCTGGAAAACTGTAAACGATGCAAAGTTTGGAAGAAAATTTTTTTTACAATTTAATTGTCTATCATAAATGCTAAATAATCCGTGTGACACTTGTATATTTACGTAGTAAGTATACTAATATTTATTACCTTCTTATACGAGATTTCATGCTAATTTTAGGTTTCCTATATCGCGGCATTG